AGTGGCTTTAGAGCAGGTTGGTCGAGGGCTCGAGGCACAGTGCGTCTCGCATTAATCATGAGCTTTTGGAAAAAGAACGGCCTTGGGAGTGGGCGGAGCAATGTCAGCAGAGGTCCTCTGTCACTTAGAGTCTCTTAGAAGGTTTCGACATGCGACATTCAAATGACACCCTGCATCTGAAAGCTACATTCTGTGGTGACATGGTCTTAGTTAGGTGTAACGAATGACTACTCCAAGATCTGCTTTAACTTCCGTCCTCTCCACCTCATAAACTAGGTATTTCGCACAACTCATCTGCGCAATCATGCGCAAGTGTCGACTAGCCACGCGCATTCGATTTATGAGTTCTGTGTCCGGGAGATGCTCAAATCCAAAGTCAGTGAGAGGCTGAATTTCATCCCGCACTCTTCCAAAGCCCCTCACAGCCTCATCTGCAACACACAAAATACACCAAGGCCCAAACACATGACACTTAAGGCACCCCAATTCCCGACAGGGAAGACAACATGCGACATTCAAAAATACCAAATAAAGGCAAATCTGATCCCAGAATGTAAACACCAAAATTACATCTAAGTAGTGTGATACTCGCAATGTGACAACCACAACCAGGCACACGTCGTACGTGACTGACATGATCTCTGAACCCCATGAAAAATGAATACCCCACGACGTAAACGATGTCAAATGGATTACCACAAAAATGTCACGCAAACATATCGCGGTGCTAACAAGTGAAAGCCGGTCAGCCACCTAACAACAACAGCACCACCACCATAGCAAACGTTATTAAACGAACCCACCAGACAAGGCAATGCAATTAGAGAGTTCGGTATAAAAACCTCTATTTACTCATATAATACCAATTCTGTTTGCCGCATCCAACGCGTTCACGTCGGGCGGCAATTTCACGTACGCCTTTTTCACATTCCTCGGGCCATTGAGGGTATACACTTTGGCCACCATCATGCAGATATAAGTCTCATTTGAGCAACTGGACTGAGTACGTGATTTGGCTCGTTTACTGCTAGAATTGTTAGACACACACGAATGTCGAATGCACACTGCAGTTTAGAAGTTTGAGGGCAAGCGCGAAGATGGCCTGTACACTTGTCAACAGGTGTGTGTTTTACTCTTTCCATGACAAAATACTCTCTAATTATTTATAGTTCAAATGGGATGTCTTAGGAAGCTTTTAAATTGATAATAAAAATAATAGTTGAAGACATGTTTAGCATGATGGTGGCCAAAGTGTATACCCTCAATGGCCCGAGGAATGTGAAAAAGGCGTACGTGAAATTGCCGCCCGACGTGGACGCGTTGGATGTAGCAAACAGAATTGGTATAATATGAGTAAAGAGACGTTTTTGTACAGAACTCGGCAATTGCATTGCTTTGTCTGGTGGGTTCGTTTAAAAGTGTTTGCTATGGTGGTGGTGGTGTTGTTGGGTGGCTGACAGGTTGGCACTTGTTAGCACCGCGATCGGTTTGCGTAACTTTTTTCGTGGTCATCTATCTGACATCGTTGACATCGTGAGGGTATGCTAGACTCCAAGATGTAAAACGCGCGTGCATTTTTCAAGGGGTTCAGGGATCATGAGAGGCACGTACGACGTGTGCCTGGTTGTGGTTGTCGCAATACGTGATTCATTCCCGGTGGATGTGGCGTGGGTGTTTACACACTGAGATGGCCGTTGCCTCAATTCGGTGGGTTTGGTCGTCGAATGTTGTCTTCCTGTCGGGAATTGGGGTGCCTAAAGTGTCATGTGTTTGGGCCGTGGTGTTTTAAGTGTTGCAGATGAGGCTGTGAGGGGCTTTGGGAGAGTGTTTTATGAAATTCAGCCTATCACTGCCTTTGGATTGGCGCGTCTCCCGGACACAGACCTCAGAAAACGAACCAGCATGGCTGGTAGACACTTGCTCATGTTTGCGCAGATGAGTTGTGCGAAATACCTAGTTGATGAGGTGGAGAGGGCGAACGTTGAAGCAGATCTTGGAGTAGTCATGCGTTACCCATAACTGAGACCAGGTCACCACAGAAAGTAGCCTTCGGATGTAGGGTGTCATTTGAATGTCGCATGTCGAAACCTTCTAAGGGGCTTTGAGTGTCAGAAGACCTATGCTGACATTGCTCCGCGCTCTCCCAAGGCCGTTCTATCTCGAAAAGCTCACGATGAATGCGAGACGCAGTGTGCCTCAAGCCCTCGACTAACCTACTGTAATGCCACTAGTCACAGGACACTTCGCAATTCTTCCGCGTCAGTTGGGATCGACCATGTTCTAACCTTCTCCATCTTATCCGGGTCCGTTCTAACAGCCTCCTTGGAGACAATGTGGACCAGAAATTTAACCGAATTCCCAAGAAGCCTGAATTCGGTCGGGCTAGGCTTCAGCACTGCCCCACAAAGGCGGCGTTCGAAAAACGCATTACGCTGACACCGTAGTTCTGAAAACTCTGATGTTATTGCCACTTCGGCAGCAACCAAACTAGGAGCCAACTATTCAAATGCGTGTTTCCGCTTACTTAAGTCGCCAGTAGAGTCAGAAGCAGAAGAATTAAAGAAACTTATTTATTTCGGGGAACGCGTGACACCAGACAGTTTGAACGAACAAGGTTATGACCTGGCAATTGCAACTAGACATGCAGGTATGCGCGTGAACGCTGTGTCATGCAGCGTCAACATGCTGACAGAAAGTGCAGTAAGTAAGTGTGATGGATTGACCAGACGCTGATGATTTCAAAGATGCAATCTGTTTAAGGTATGACGGATGAATGTGCAGCCGTGTTCAGGTTTTGACCTCACGAACCTATCCTTCACGAACCGGTTGAACATGGCTCGAATGATGAAACTAGACACGAGACATACTCGGTTGTTCCTGAGGCATCTAAACCACTTGTCGTGACTTGTGTTACGGACGTTTGCGAATTTTGTTCAATTGCTTGGTAATCGCTCGGTGGTGTGTTGCATTGAAGTAGTGTCGAATTTACAGGACAAGTACTCACTCATACGAGACTTCGAAAACTGCCAAAAAAATCGTGAAAAGGCGTACACAAACACCTGAGAATGACAAAACTTGCTGAAGAAGTGGGGGCCATCAGGAGCCCGAGTTATTTCAACTTTGTTGTGAACGGGAATTTCAGCATCTCCAATAGGTTCTGACTTAGTGGCAAAGCGGTCTTA